CCACACCACAGCTCCCTTGGGAGAGTGACGGGTCACTCTCATGTAACCCCGTTACACGAAGCAACAGTGCGTCGCTCTTGTCGCGAGATGGACGCTAGTTACAGTACTCCTTTAAGAGAGGCACTTTCAACACAAGACAATTTAGTGTCTGCATCGACTAACCTAACGTATAGATGCATTCGAAGTTCATAATCGCCATTCAAATGTTGCTTTAAACGCCTTAATCTCCTATGTACAGGGATCAGCAGTTCAATCGCCGCGATGGACGTCAGACTCCCTACGTACCATAATCTCATGGACGGGTGCGGCTCACACTGTGACCTTCCGCGCTCACCCGACCTCTTTTAATGAAGCCATGGGTGCCGCATTTAATGCGGGTACATCTTCTGTATAGCGAGTGCACCGGAAGCGCAAGCTCCAGGAGAGCATCGAGCGGGCGACATAAGCTACACTGAGGACACTCGAAGGATGTATAAGCTACTGCGTGGAATCGTTGATGGCTCATCAACCGTAGAAAGGAGGCATTGCGTGTCACCTTCTCTATCGGCTGATAGACGCGAATTGCTGGGCTTCTACGCAAGGTCGTGCGATTACCCTAGCGGGGATCGTCAAGTCCCGGCAGGTCGCCTAGCGCCTACTTAGAACTATACTTTACTTTGTGTGAAAATTGTGACAAACAGAACCCAGTCCTAAAAACCGACTTCTTTACAAAACGTTCGGGTTCAGGTGATTGTTAACATCGACGTTTAAGGTATGTGGAGCCGTGTAAAGTTATGACAGATTTGGGAGCGTAGCACAATTAGGTGCTATGAGCGATAGTCAAACCTTGTAGACAGTATGCCGTGGCACTGAGGACGTGGAATACGGATAAAATATTATGGGTGCTTGCAAGGGGTGCGCTAGCTTAATGAGCGACATTGTCACTATTCGCTTAGCGACGGAGACTTGTTTCACTGTGACGAGTGTCCCTGCTGGATCTCGGTGTCAACTTTATTGTCTTTGATAGCGTGGAGCGCTGCTTAGTCCTTAGCTTGGATTAAAGATATGACCTTATCATTGGAATGGCATGGTTGGAACACCGTGAGCCATGTATTGATTGGAGGTCGAAGACCTTTGTCGCTGCGCGCACGTCTCCTGGTGGAGGTTTGGTGAGGTATGAACCCACCTCTGCTAGGAAGCAGAAGCACTATTTGCGCGGGCACTTGATCAGGACGGTCAACCTGCTGAATATCGAAGTTTTCGAGTTGTTAAATTCCGAAGTTGTATTCGTCAAGAGTCCCGAGCATGGCTCGCGGGCTGAACTTGGAGTGTCGCGTAACCCACTGAGCACTGCTCAAGTATTAAAGCAGCTGCTGCATGCCAAGAGTGGCATGGTCGGACGAGGTCCGAGGTATATTAAGCAAGGTCCTTCAGATGTGCGTCGAGTAGCACGTTATCCACTGGACGAAGGCTGCGAAAAAAGCAGCTCTTCGTCGGATGTTGTTAATAACATCAAGGCTCCGATGGAACAGGGAGTGGGGACACTAGACGACGCTGAGTGCGTGTTCCCACTGGCCTCGACGAGAAGTAATATCTTTATTGTTTGAAGACGGCGATGCCGTCTGCTATTTGCAGGACGCAGGGAGTCGACCCTGACCCAGGGTATGTCCACCGTGGACGATAGCGCACATCTATATACGATTATCAATAGTATGACGGGAGAAGAAGACAGCAGCGTCACCCTCGAGAATAATCCCGCGGTGGATGTTCTTCTTAAGCTGGACAAGATGCCCTTCGAAGAGTATAGCAGTGCCTTGAAGGCAGGCAATTTAGCCGAGGTGTCCATTATGAGACCGAACGAGGAGATTAAGTTGCTTTTGCTTTTGGATGAAGCCGCTCTGGTGGATACTAAGAGGGTGCTTAACCCAGGACGTAGATCTAGATCCTGAACGATCCCTCGAATCCGAATTACCCTTTGGTAAATGAGTTTCAGGACGTCGTCTCCAAAAACCCGTCGTTGATCCTACCTCCGACCGAGGTGTTCGTCATGAAATCGACCTGGTCCCGGGAACCAAATACTGCGTAACACGCCATTGTCCCCTGCTCGAGGAGCAGTGCGAAGTCATTGACGCCGTTTTTGTGCAAAGCACGACGCAAGAATGGTGCATGAGAGTAAGTCTCCCAATTCGACACCCATGTTTTGTGTCCGGTAGCCGAATGGCAAGTGGCGTATCGCTCACGCTTTTATCAGCTAAATGCCGCCACCATTCCGCACAGACGCCGAATCCCAAAAAGGATATTCTCCAATATGGTTGGCTGTACAAAGTACAGCGCCCTCGACTTGGTCAATGGTTATTACCAGTTGCTCATAAGAACGAGCGATATTCCGCTGACAGCGGTGAGTACTCCGAGTGGCATGCTCTGGTAGTGGCTGGTAATGCTGGTGATGCCCCAAGGGCTGCCAGATGCACCAACAACATTTAATCGTCTTGTGACGCTGTTGTTCAGGCCCACCGGACGTTTGCCAGACATACTTTGACGACATCTTCGTCCACAGTCGTGCGTGGCACGGGAGGACAGACGAGGAAAATCACATTGTCCATTTGAGAGCAGTGCTTGAGTGCATGCGCACGAATGAGGTGTACGCTCATGCCAATAAGTGCATCTTCGGCGCTGAAGATATCCCTTTCTACGGTGCTTCATTGGAAAGCGTGGCCTTCGAGCAGATCCCGCTTAGGTCAAGGTCATTGTGGACTGGTCGGTTCCAAAGAACCCAAAGGACTTGCGCAAGTGGCTTGGCCCCGCGAACTACTTCGACAAGTAAAGCCAATTCAGCAGATACGCCACAAATTGTGATTCCTCACGATGAGGATTTGAAATATAGTATCCTCTGTGAGGCCCACGACACCCCACTCGGTGGTATTCTCGGTCGTGAGCTCGGTGAGTTGCCACTATTGGTCGCCCAGGCTGTACTAATGGACGAGCACATATGGGTGCCTGTGTATGACGTTTCAGAGGGTGAAACCCTCTTTGAATGCGGCAGCGCCGCTGGCCAGTTTACCGGTACCCTCCGGGTGTTGGCGGTCTATAAGTATGGAATTTGTGTTTGGCCTGCCGAAGGACTCGGCGGGCAACA